TTGAATTTGACCAATCAACATTGGGAACCAAAGCAATCATGTGATCCCTACCGTATGTAAACGCAGATGAGATATTTTCCTTAAAACTGAAATCAACCTTTTGGAAGATTGGTTTATAAGAAGATAGAGGTGGCACACAATTCTCACTCTAATCAAGTTGCATAAAACATGATTTGTTTGATAACAACATTTTTTTCATGCCGTAATTACTGAATCTGTAAAAACACAGTATTTGCATGTGTTGACGTAAATGCATCCAAGTTTATTTTTGGACATTTTTACATGTGCTTCTGTTGTGGAAAAACAAAAAATATGGTTTTTGATCTGCCCTAATAACTCGTACATTGTATAAGCTACATTGTAATACAAACAAAATGTATTTGTTTTGTTCAAGGTTTACATTGCTGTAGAGTCTATTCAAAGCACGCACAGCTATTTAAAAGACGGCAATATGTACAGAGCATTCCATTCATCAAAGAGAGCTATCCAAGCATCAGAAACAGCGTTCTTTGATCCATCCCTTCTGGAACTTTTATATTTCCCAGAAGATCAAAAGTAAGTGAGGTGTCGATCATGATAACTTCTGTGAATGTTGTCTTCAGAGAATATTTTGAAAAAAAAAAAACTCTACAGCGGAAGCAATTGTCACACACACAAAAATTATATGAAAAAAAATCACTAAATACATATGATGAGAGGAGAAAAAAGATTGGCAGTTTTCTTTATTATTATTAAATATTTTCTTTAAAAGGAAAAACAAAATCAGTTGAGCTACAAAGAGTAAACTTTTTCTTGCATTTTTCTTGACAGGTTTGCGATATACATTCCATTGTTTCTGCCGATGAGTATACCGGTGTTGATGTCAACAGTCAAGGCATTGAAATGGATCAAATCTAAGAGACGTCAAAATAAAAGAGCGAAGCGTGACTGAGAAACATACTTGTGGGGGTTTTTGTTTAGCGTGGACTTTTTGTGAAAGAGCACCCTCTGTGGTCAAAGTTGTTGCTTCTTTTTTTCACAACTTTTACTCTGTGTTGTCTTTCAAATTAATGTCCGACAAGATTTGTGCATTCTCACCATTCAAACTTTTCCCCAACAAGCTCTGTAAATACAGTTGTGTGAAAAAAATTTTTTACTTTCAATAAATCTGAAACTTTTGATAAAAATATGCATCTTTTTTGCTACAATTACGACTTTCTCAAAGATTCAATTTCAACAAAACACAAGTTTAATATTATAATTCATCAAGTTTATTGTTGCAAGACTTACAATCACGAAACAATATAGAGATTCAACTTTTAAGTTGACTAGAATTTATTTGCACATGTACACAAAAACTAATATAAATTGCAGTGTTTACAAGTAGTTGCAATGTGGTCCAGTCCACGTTACAAAATGAAGTATTTTTTTTTACCCTCTAAGGGGCAACTCAATTGAAATCAAGGAGAGCTGTAGGATTTGGGGGAAAAAATTATGTTCAAACATTCTCTCACAAAAAAAAAGTATCCAAATGACCAATTTCCTCCAGTTCCTCCCTGGAATTTCAAATGGGTCACCTCTTACATAGTTCTGGTTTTCATTAAGTAGACAGAACAGAAGATTATTACCGGGTATTACAAGGATTACATAATGTATGCATTTGAACAATATTTGATTGCATCAATGTTTGATACATTAATCAAATCTTAATCTTATCTGTACTTGAGAATAATCCAAGACTGACAAAATGGACCAAAAGTCAATTATTAGGAACAGTTTACCCCATCAGAATAATCATCACAACACATCAATGTGAAGCCCATACAGTCAAGGGTTGTTCCTGTCTGCTTTATTGTATTCTTGTAGTCATAGCAACTGTGGGACCTCATCAGAATTTTAGGACAATTATTACCGGCGTTTAATATTTTTGTTTTTTAGTTCTCAAAATTATAATATATATTACAGTTGTACTGTATGTTTATTTTGAGTAACTTTAAACATTAATGTTGTGAGTTATAACTGTTGCATTCATATTATAAGCAAAAATTAAACTAAATTTGGCCGACAGACACAATGTTAAGTACTGTAAATGACCCGGTTACTGGTAGCATAGTGGTTGTCGCATCAGACTCGTGATCGGTAGACCCGAGTTCAAATTCTACCTTAGGCTGAACATCAAAGGGTCGACCCCGACCCTGGGTGAGTGTGCCACAGACTCAATGGGAAGGCCAATTCCACTGGCCGAGATTCATTCACTAACGAATGCGACTTACTGTAAATGAGAATTAAAATCTTAACCTTTTGTTGATACAAGTAATACAGTTGTTATGCAACATGCATTGTGATGACCTTTGGTACTTTAACCTTTGCCACGTAATTCATAGAAGTGTAAAAATATTACAGCTCAAAACAAAGCTACTATACTGTACTGAATACACAACGCTGTACAAGCAGCAAAGAGAAAATAAGTATTTATAGTTTCGTCCCTGAAATTGTATAGTGAGACTTTGATAAAACCCCAGTTCCAAACCATGGTTTTGGAGGAGTTACTCATCGACCGATTGTTGTTTTATGTCTAAATTGCACAAGACGTATAACTGTATAGTTTCCTGAAAACACATCAATCTAAAACCAATGTTATTAAATAGTTGGAAATGTATAAAAAAATTTTCATACAAATTAAATATAATGAAAAGTAAAATGACAACAAAATATGTAAATTAATAAAATTGTAATACATGCAGCATTTATATAAAATAAATATATAAAATTTAAGGTCGATGTGTGAAAACAAAAGAATTCACTTAACTGGTCAATGATGGCAGTATCACGACAAAACTTTCACAAATACGGTAAACTAAAAATATATTTAGAATTATATATATAAAACTGAAATATAGATAATATTAAAACATAAGAACTTTTTGCACTTGGATATCAGGCTTAATTTTTGTTCTGATTAGTAATATCACCTACCCCATTCTATTAAGCCTAATGTACATACCGGTAACTAAAATTTGATAGTTAAATTATGTTTTGTTTCTCAACAGTCAATGCAGCCTGTGTTCTAATTTTGTGTGAAAAATGTATTTTACACATGTTGTATAGGTCGCATGGGACCCATACCGAATATGACGCAGCAAGACTACTATGATGCTTCAACTTTATATGCATCAAGTTTTGTCGTCAAATTACCAAAAATCTGATAAGGATTTACAGTTTTATTTCTGTTATCAATTTTAATGATTTTCAAAAATGGATGGAGCTTGGGATTTAGTCGATTTTCAAATGCTTTACTTCGCAGTTTGAATCAAACACAGAGACTTATCTTCACGGTTGACAGTACAGATTTAGACATCGGACGGAGAAGAAAGTTTTATGTTGTACATTCAGCTTGTAGAAAATGGGCAACACTCATTGTTCAACTTTGGATGACACAGGATTCATTATTCTGAGGAGGTGGTGAGAGCAAGGATCTTAGACTAATCCCTTATTTAACTCATAACACTGACTGTATTTGCTTTACTAGAAGCACAGATAAACCAAAAATTACATTTAATCAGACACACATCAGTCATTTGCATAAGCACTAATAATGAAGCAAATCAGCCACCAATACTTAAAAATTTCTACAGTTTGCTCAGGGAAATAAATGTTTCAGTATGTGAGATTATGCATGAAATCAACATAGGTCATAGCACCATAATGACGTCAAACATGGCAAAAGTATAACGTGCCATACACATTTGGGGATATTCAACATTGAACTTCACTGTCAAAATAAAATCATCTCATTTTTGTGGCAGACATTAGGTCAATTTCCATGCATAATACATGATTTAGTAGAACTTTGGAAAATCCATTTTCAGACACTTGCGCTCATACCATCACTTTATTATTCATAAACACCAAAAAAATACTAATTTGGGTATACAATATATAACCAAGTATATATTATTCTAAAATGTCTGAATCATTTCTGTTGACTGGATTGTCAAGCGTAAAACAGATGCAAACTGATTTCTACACAGTTAATGCAAATACAGAAATAATTAATATGTAATAAACACAGTCTTTGTAAAAAAAAAAAATCCCTGACAGAATGCTGCTTTGTCTATTCAAGCCCAAGGTTTTATAAGGTTGTTATTCTTTCTCATAAATTCCTTCAGGTGAGTTGGATAATCCGTCATGATTCCAGTAGCCCCAAGGTCTAAGGCTCGTTCCCATTCTTTTTCTTCATTCAAAACCCACACATATACCTAGAGAAGTAGAAAATGAAATTCATGATATAAAAAAGCATTTTGTCCCTTTACTGACATCACAAAACTTTGCAAAGCATGTATTAAGGTGCATTTTGGAATAGAGCGATATTAATCACGCTCAATTCTGTACAATCAAGGTCTCAATATCTTCTGCCATCTTTAATACATGCAAGAGCAGCACTCTCCATGCTCACAAATCACACAAATAAGTGGATTTATAAATACAAATAAATATTTTACCAATACAAATGGAGATTTCACAAATACAATTTCAGATATAAATGGGGTTTTATGAATACAAGTGAATGATTTATGAATAGAATTGGTTATATATGAATATAAAAATGTCATTTATAAATATGAATTTAAATCTTTGCACATATTAAAAATTTTTTAATGAATATTGCACTCACACTTGATCTTCCATACATGTGCCATTCTTTAATTGCAACACATTTTGAACACAATCATACCATTTAATACTCATTTCTTTTTACACAATGCATAATGTGTTTACGTGGCATCAAACAGAACAAATACATTAACACAAACACCTGCAAACGCATCCAAAGTCTCATCCAAGAGTAAATGACCAATCGCCACCAGTGGATTTTGCCTCGTCCATTACAAACACTTACACATGGGTAGACGCATTCACGAGGTATGATTTGAACTTACATAGTCGATGGTCAAATGCAATGACGACAACCACTATGCTACCAGTGATTATATAATATAACGTACCTGAATTCCTCTCTTATTTAGATGTTGAAATAACTGCTTACTCATCAGGAGTGTATCCATTATTGAGATTAAAAGTGCATATTTGGTGTCAATATCAACAAATCTACAAAATAAATCATATGGTGATGATGATGATTGTGATAGTGATAATGACACTTATTACATGTCAAAACATTACTTGTTGAGCACATTACATTTTTAAAACATTTGAGTCTTCACATTACATCATAAATCTTCCCACATTGATAGCAGCCAGATCTGCCAAAATTCTGTCTGTCATGATTAGCTATCAATATAATCTTTTGTGATGACAAAGTAAATCAGTTATAAAGAATGAGCAATGATTACTGTAAAACATGTTGAAAAAGCGACATGCAATTTTAGCGAATTGGGATAAAATTACGTAATAGCGAAATGTTGATTTAGCGAATCTCTCTTGTCACTGTTGATTTCCTGTTTTCACAACACTTGTCTGCCGCGTGCCAAAACAAATGCGCAGTTATCACCTCCATAAAAACAAAGAAAAACTGTCAAGTGTGATTAGGAAGCGCCCTAGATTGTTATGTTCCGGATAACTTTATACAAATCCCCAAGCCTTGGCCATTTTGAATTTATAATAATGCTAAGGGACGACGTCAAAAGATCGATGTCGCATAAAAAACTTAATTCCTTTAGTTTTTTTCCAAACCCCCTACCCCCCACTGAAACTTAATTGATAAATATTGGTCATGGCGTCAGACTA